GCGTATAGAAATGCGTTCTTCACGTCGATCTGTCGCAGTGGCAGGTGCTTAGCGGCGGCAATGGCGAGTAGTATAATCCTGACGGAGGTGTGGCGGCTGATGGGAGCGAAGGTTTGGTTGAAGCCGATGCCGTGACGCTGATCGTACCTACGTACGACCCGACGTGCCTTGAAACGCTCGATAGTGCCATCAGCGTTAGTCTTCAGGCGAAAAACCCACTTTCCACTGAGTACCCTCCTCCCCTTCACTACTGCACGATCGAATAGGACCCATGTGTCTCGAGATTCCAGCGCTTTTAGCTCCGCATCCATCACGGCACGCCACTCCTTGGCATGAGGGCCGGTTAGGGCCTGGCGAGGATTCTTGGGTTCGACGACGCGCGCGAGAGTTGTGACAGACGCGTGCAGGCCAAGAAGTTGTAGGCCAGACACATTGGTGGAGTCTGTGGTGGTGGTGACTTCCACCACGTCGTCGTCGCTGCTCTCGTAGCCGGGCGATGTGGTGCTTGGCTCAGCTTGGCGCCGTGACGGCCCTGGCGCGGGAGCGTCGTCGCTGTCATCGTCGTTGCAGGGACGAGGCGGGACACTTGGGTGTTCGTCGGTGTCATCGCGGTCCTGTGCAGCTGCTGCCGCTTCATCTTCTGGAGACGCGAAGCTGCGGCCGCTGTTGACGTAGCCGCATGCCTCGTTGCGACGCTCGTCCTCGATCCACTGCTTCAAGGTAAGCCGCTCGTAGAAGAGAACGTCACACGGAGGGACAATCTCCTTGCTGTCGATGTCGAGAATGAGCCAGCCCCTGTGCTCATTGCTAAGACCCAAGTGAATTTCCCAGCGCTCGCGCTGAGCGAACTTGCCTATTATGGCTGAGGCCGGCCGATACTGAACCATACACCCCCAAATCCTCAGCATGGAGGGATCTCCCCTTGAGCCGGTCCACTTCATGTGGGGGAAAAGGTTGTCCCTGTTGGCGGTGGTGGAGAAGGTTGTGCAGACGCACCGGATGGTTCATGGCGTAGGGCCAAAACTTCTTGGGTAGGCCGGACTGGTTCATGAGGGCGCGCACTTTTGTCATGAGGGTGCGATTAACCCTCTCTGCGACGCCTTGCTGATGTTGAGCGTAGGGGAGAGGGATCTCATGCTTGATCCCCTTCTCAGTGAGAACACTCTCCAGTTCGTTGCTGCAAAATTCCTTGGCCCCGTCACTCTGCCAGATCTTCAGCTTCCTTCCTGATTGTCATTGCGCATGCGCAAGAAAGATGCGGAACACTTCTGGAGCTTTGGAGCGGGCGTCGACGTTGGCGATCCACACATGGCGCAAGTAAGCGTCAATGAAGGCGAGTGTGTATTTTTCGCCGTTGATGTCGTCATGGGTAAGCACGATGAAGTCGCTGTATACCTTCTGCAGCCTCTTGTAGCGATTGGTGCACGGCTCTAGAGAGGGGTAGGCGTTGTGGGAGAGCGCAGCTGTGGAGCAGACGGTGCAAGTGATCGGGTGTGAGGTGTTGTGTGGTTCTGTTCCGTTGGGGCGCAGCTGTGCTCCTGGGGGAAAGACTTTGGCGCGGAGGCAGTTGGCGAGAGTCTGGCGCAAGGGGTGGCCCAGCTGCTGGTGCCAGAGGTCGTTTTCGGCGCGGATGCCGGAGGTGCGCTTGTAGCGAGCGTAATGTTCTGCTGCTTCTGCTTCCGTTTCTTGCGGGATCTAGAGTAGGGGTTCTTCCTCCTCTCCTGGTTCCGCTTCGTTGTCCGGCTCCTCTGCTTCTGCTTCTGTTGCTGTCTCCCAATCTGCAAGTGCCGTTGTAAGGTAGAGCGCTAAGAATTCACGGTCGGGGATTATGTTGAGCGGGGTCGTTGTGCCTTTGATGAAGCGGGCGAATGGATCTGGTCGTAAGATTGGACCAAGGGAGTCGCACGGAGGTGTTGGCGGTACATTCCCCTCCTCAATCTCTGACCAGAGGTTGTTCCAGCGATGGGGCGAACGACGAGGTTCGCGGGTGCGCGGGGGCCTGCCGAGCAGAATGACTCCTCGCCGCGTTCCATTCTCTTTTCACGTTCGGCTTCTTCTAACTCCTCTTGAGTGAGTTCTCCTTCGTCGGGTTTGGTGTTTCCCCATCCTCCCGTGGTGACCACGCCGCTGGCGCTGGATCCCCATGCTCCAGTGGCGGATCCCCAGGTTGCACCTTCTTCCGGTTCGTAATCTTCATCTCCCCAAGCCACGCATCGTGCTGAGGCTTCGTCCCATCCTGCCGCGACGCGCTCTTCATAGAGCTTCTGCTTCTTCTCCGCCTTGGCCTTGTCTCGTTCTTCCTTGACGCTTAGTTCCCCTTTTGCGCCAAGATCTTTCTAGGCCGGGTCAATCTCCGTGCGATAGACGTCGCGAGGGTAGGGGCGCGGGCGTCCTTCCTTGTCGTAGGTACCGGTGTTAGCTCGTAAAATGAACCGAAATGCTTCTGAATGTGGTGTTGGCCGCTCTACCCGCCTTTGCCCAAAGTCGTCCTTTGGTTCGCCAAAGATGAGATAAGTTGTCACAGCAAGATCTTCCTGTGTCATGCCCGTAGGTTCTGTCTCGGCACTCTCTGCCTCCTGTATTTCCACATAGTCCTTCTCCACTTGCTCTGTGTGGCTTGCCGTCGGTGTGTGACAGGTGGTGTAGAGCCCATTAATGTCTGGCTCGTGCAGGTTGATCTCGTGAGGATGAGGGTTGCGGGGAATCCACGGCCGTCCGTCTGGGTGCTGCCTTGACTCCTCGTTCATGAAGGGGAAGTCAAGTGGAATGAGATCCACGAGCTCGTCTGATGAAGCTTGACAACTCAGGATATCGAAATCCAAGACGTAGATGCCGTTGATCGAACGGGCTCGCCCTAGAGACTTATGCGACTCGGGAGGGGTGTCCGGGGGAGCGTAAGAGAGGATGAGATCGCGTGTGGCTAGGTCCGTTGTCAGCATGACTCCACAGTCGCGGAGTTGCCTTGCTGATAGCAGGTTGAAGCGAAGGTCCGGGACGAAGAGCACGTCGTTGAATGAGATGTGTGTGTTGCTGTCTCGTGCTTGCAGGACCACGATGCCTTGAGCGTTGGCGCGGAGATGCTCATTGTTGGCAACGGTGACGTAAGTGGCGGGGGCGCGGCTGATGTTCGAGATGTATCGAACAGATCCCACCATGTGCTGTCCGCAGCAGCTGTCCAGGTACCATGTGTTGTGATTTTTGGAGTTGGAATTGCGCAGGAGTAGCGAGAGTCGCGGCATCACCATAGTTGCCTTAAATCGTCTGTGAAAGGATGGGTCCGCGTCCTCCTTCCATCCCACAGGTACGTAACTGTGATAGTTCTGTGGCGGGCTTATTCGTAGTGTTATTGGCTGATGCCAATCTTGCTCATCTTCGTCATACAGATAATAGTGATCTTCAATTATTCCAACCCTCTTCTGGTTCAAGGAGTCTTCCTTGAACGACGACGTCCTCTTCGTCAGGTTCAGCAGTACGACGACGTTGCGTCGCCATATTCGCGATAATGTTTCTAGGAGCTCCTGATTGAGGCCCTTGAGTCTGCTGATGTTGATGTTGTGCAGGGGGACGAGATGGATGATGTTGAGGCTGAGAATGACGAGCGTCTTGTCAGCCGACCCAGTTGTTATGGTGAGTGGAATTCGGGTGGCGATAGTTGGATCGGGATTTGCATCGATCCGTTGAATGTCCGAAGACTTTGCATATTTTGCAACTGTGACGCCTTGGTTGTCGTCGCTCTTCACGGTTGTCTGCGTAGAAGGCGAGGCGCTCTTGGCACGACGCGGAGCTTGTTCTGCTCGAGTCTGTCAAACTTATATGCTATAGTCTGTTTAGGCTGTAGTGGGGTAGTCCTATAGGGTACATCAGTTTTAGGTTTTCCTACTTGTACCCACCCCTTTTCTAGTTCATTCACTCTTGTTCATTCTGACATGGTATTACGAGCCTAGGTTAGGCACCTAGGACCGCTTAGTACTACGGGCCCACCGTTCCGCTAGAAGCGCCCTCGTGCGCCCTGCCTTCCTTGCGCCCTCGTGCGCCTCTCTCTGCTCGTGCGCCCTGACGCGCCCTGCCCCTAGCGCTGCCCGCGCGCTACTGCTAACCGCGCACGCGCAGTCTGCTATCCGCCCGCGCGCAGCCTGCTTACCGTGCGCGCAGCCGGCACCGCCCGCGCGCAGCCCGCAACGGCCTCGTGCAGCCCCACGAGCAGCCCGCACGCCGCAGCTGCTCGCACGCCGGCCGCTGCAGCCAGCGCGTCGCACGCTGCCCGCGCACAGCCACCGCCTGCGCGCAGCCGCAGCCCGCGTGCAGCCACAGCCTGCACGCAGCCGCAAACCCGCACGCCGCCCTGCCTGCCCGAGCCGCGCCGCGCCGCCCTGCCCGAGCCGCACAGCGCTACCGAGCCGCGCTGCCCTGCTGTGTCGCGCTGCCCCACCTGCAGCTACTGCTGCCCCTGTTCCTGCTGCTACGACTGTTCCTGCTACTACTTCTACTGCTGCCCCTATGGCTAGTCCCACAGTTCTCTCTTTCGATGCTGAGGGCCGACTGATTCAGTTTGATGCTTTGCTCGACGACCTGCACCTCTTCCTACAGATCACTGCTAATGTCGATATCTCGCTGTATGATCACGCGTCCGGAACCGCTCCCGCACCTGCTGAGACTTCTGACAGTACGGCTCGCTCACAGTGGCAGACTTGTGACGCTCACCTTGCCTAGCCATTCGCAGCCACCTGCCGTTAGATGAGCGAGCGCATTTTGGCTAGCACAAGAGTGCTAAGGCACTATACGATGCTGTAGTCGCGCGCTAATCCTCGCTTGCCTCTGCTACGATTGGCTGTCTCTCGCTGCCCTATCTTTTCCCCGATCTGTCCGCCTTTCCCACAGTCGCTGACCTCATTACCCACCTCCGCACTAGTGACACTCGCTACCGTGCCGCCCTTCGTGCTGAGTTTCTCTCCAAGAACACCCCCCCTCCCCCCCCCTCCCCCCCCCCCCCCCCCCCCCCGATGTACCTCACTCTCTACTGCCTCGTCACCCGTCTCCCTGACTCTCTTCGCGCAGTCAGGGACCACTTTCTCGCCCTCTGCCCTACTGAACTCACCGTTGACCTGCTCGAGAAGCATCGGCTTGCAGCTGAGGCTAGCATAGTCGCTGAAGGTGCCTCTCGCGGCGACCCCCGCACGCCTTTCTTTGAGGGGTGTTCCCCTTCCCCCATTCCCCCCTCAGACGCCTCTGCTGCTGCTGTCGACAACCTTGGTGCTGAGGAAGTCGGGGCTGCGTCTGCTTCGAGTGGGAGGCGCAAGGCAGCAGGGGCAAGGGAGGCAAGGGTGGTGGAGGTGACGGCGAGGGAGGCGGTGGTGGAGGCGGTGGGGGCGGTGGGGGCGGTGGCGGGGGTGGTGGCGGCAACGGTGGTGGAGGTGGCCGGGGTGGAGGAGGTGGTGGTGGCGGCAGTGGGCGTGGTGGCGGCGGCAGAGGTGGTGGTTGGGGTGGACCGGCGCAGCGTGGAGGTTCTGGTGGTGTCCAGCACCAGCAGCAGCGTCTCGGCGAGACCCCGTCGCCCTAGCAGCTTCGTGAGTGGTACTCTCAGGATGGGGGGTCTGGGGGTGGAGGCACCTGCCCGTATGTCATCTGCACAGGTGACCGCGCTGGTCAGACGTGTGGGAGGCCCCACACGCAGCAGCGCTGCTTCTCCCGTCTCGACGACGCCTGGCGTGCACAGTTCACTGACGCCTCCGAGCTGCCCCGCTGGGCTGATCTGCTTAAAAATAACATTGATATCTTTGCTCTTGACTTTGATGTTATCCTTGGTGCCATGTATGCATTGACTATTAGTGTTGAGGGTGACTGTTACCTATGTGTCTCGTCCGACCCGGGCATTGAGACCAGTGAGGCTGCCGCTCTAGGTGCTAGTGCATCTGCTGCCTCAGGTCCTGGTGAGGCTGCTGCTCTAGGTGCTGGTGAGCCTGCTGCTTTAGGTGCTCGTGAGCCTGCGCCTTCTGGTACTGTGTCTAATGAGGCACTGCACACCTTCACACTGGACTCAGGTGCTTCCCGCTGCTTCTTTCGCGACCGCACTGCCCTCGCGCAGCTCCCTAGGCCTGTTGCTGTCTCCCTGGCTGACCCCTCCGGGGGCCCGGTCCTTGCGACCTCCACCATTGTCCTCCTTTGTCCTGCTGTCCCGTCCGGCAAACTGTCGGGTCTTTACATCCCCTCGTTCTCTACGAACTTGGTGGCGGGTTGTGCGCCCAGGACACGGGTGTTCACCAGTTCACCGCTGCCTATGAGCGTGTTACACACTGCACGTGTGCTCAGACGGGTCGTCACCTGGCTACCTTCACTCGGCAGCCGGGGTCGGACCTGTACACACTGACCACTGAGTCCCCTCAGGTAGTTGCGTCTGCGTCTGCGTCAGGTCAGTTGTCGGCCCCCTGCTCGTATCGCACCTTGTCGCACTGGACGGTCCTCTGGCACCACCGCCTTGGTCACCCTTCGATGCAGCGCCTTCGTGGCATGCACTCCTGTTTCCTTGTCTCTGGTCGTCTTCCCAGGTCACTGCCTCCCTTGCCACCCTCCCGTGCCCCTCCCTGTCTTCCCTGTGTCGAGGGGCGGCAGCGCGCCGCCCCTCACTACTCTGAGTTTCCCCCGGCGGAGGCTCCTCTGCAGACTCTCCACATGGACGTGTGGGGCCCAGCCCGCGTCCGTAGACAGGGCAGAGAGCGCTACTTTCTGCTTTAGTTGACGACTACACGCGTTACACCACGGTCTTCCCCTTGTACACCAAGGGTGAGGTCCCTAATGTCTTGATCCCTTGGATCCCCGCTACCCATCTCCAGCTGAAGAGGCGCTTTCGCACGGACCTTCCCGTCCTGCGACTGCACTCTGACAGAGGTGGCCAGTTTTCTTCCAACCTCTTGAGAGCCTTCTGTCACGGGGAGGGCATTGAGCAGAAGTTCACGCTTCCAGCCTCTCCGCAGCAGAATGGGGTTGCTGAGCACCACATTGGCTTGGTCATGGAGGTCGCTCGTACCTCCTTGATCCATGCGGCTGCCCCCCATTTTCTGTGGCCGTTTGCAGTGCGATACGCTGCGCATCAGCTCAACCTCTGGTCCCGTGTCTCCGTTCCGGAGACATCGCCGACACTGCATTGGACGGGGGAGGCTGGCGATGCGTCAGTGTTCCGGGTCTGGGGATCTCGTGCCTTTGTCCGCGATACGTCCGCGGACAAGCTCTCCTCCCGCACCGTTCCTTGTGTCTTCCTTGGCTTTGTCCCTGACGCGCCTGGCTGGCAGTTTTACCACCCCACCTCGCGCCGTGTCCTGCCCTCTCAGGACGCCACGTTTGACGAGTCGGTCCCCTTTTACCGTCTCTTCCCCTACCGCACTGCCCCGCTCCCCCCTCCACCGCTCTTCATCACGCCAGGTGCTGCTTCGATAGACCCCCTCCCCCCCAGGGTCCTGCTCCCTCAGGTGTTTCCCAGGTAGACCCGGTCGAGCCTGTCGAGGTAGTTGTTGACTCTAGTCATGCGCTGTGAGAGTACGACGGCTTATGCCAGCTATGCTTGCTTGCCGTTACTTTATTATGCTATTTCTAGCATAGGATAATTATATGCATGCATGAATTGCTTGATTTCCTAGGCTAGGTGCTTTCCTATATTTTGTTATAGTTATAGCACCGAGCTAGGTTGCATGCACCGAATTCTGGGTTTTCGGTTGCCACCGAATTGCCTTCTACTGAATTCAGGAAGGATCTGTTCGGGACGCTTCGCGACCCGCAGAACCTTCGCGTAACACCTGGTTACGGGGCCTTGTGTCGAGCCTATATATAGCCTCGTGTTGTACCCAGGTGATCCATTCAATTCACATTCTCTTTTCTGAGCTCGATCCTAGATCCTCACACTTGGTAATCAGAGCCCGCTTACACGCGAAGTTCTTTCAACCACTACAAAGCAGTCTTCCAAAAACCGCGAGGGCGACGCAGTTAAACATCGATTTCGGGTACGTAAAACCGGTTCTGTGTTTTTCGCTCCCCCTCGATTCGGTTTTTTGGACGCGTTGATGTCAGGCATGGAAAGCCAAGGCGACAACTACGCGACCACGAGCGACATCCCGAGCCTCCGCACCGACATGGAGCAGACGCAGGCGACGCTTCGTCGACTCGAGGCTTTTCTGACAAGCCAACCAGGGTTCGCCACCGCAGCAGCAGCGACCGCAGCGATTGCAGCACCGACAACTCCAGCACCAGTGGCAACACCGACATTTCACGGACCGATGGCACCACTGTCGCCGAACCTCAAAGCAGCACGACCGAGGCTCCCTGAAGCATTCGATCTAAGCGCGAAGGGATCCGACGTCCGGCGATTTTGTGGCCACCCTTGAAATTTACTTCGAGGCCATTGGCTGTTTGACCCCGCAACACGACGCAACAAGGATTCGGCTCGCAGCGACACTTTTACGTGGACCGGCTCTCGAATTGATTTACTACACCGACGTAGCCCGCGAGGAGAAAACGTGGCAGCAGTTTCGGGCAGATTTAATGGAGCGTTTTGAACCAATTAATACGACCTACATGGCGCGGCAACAGATACACCGACACAAGCAATACAGTAGTGTAGCACAGTACACGCAGCAGATGGAGTTACTGTTCAACCGCATCACCGACCTGACCGAAGGCGAAAAAATCCAGGCGTACACCGAAGGGTTAAAACGCTCAGGTTATTGCGGCGAATTACAACAGCTACAGGGACATCATGCGTGCTGCCGAGCGATAGGACGCGCTGACTCGAGGTCAACCCGAAACACGACGCTTCACGCCGAACCGTAGGCACGGAGCGATCGGCACCCCTCACGTTCGCCGAACCGATGGATATCGACAAATACGACGCGAAGCAGCAACCGACAAAATGCGAATTTTGCGGCGCAGCAGGGCATCAGTTTTTGTCATGCTACAAAATGAAGAAAGCACGTGCAGCACTCCGAGACGGAAACAGTGGAGCACCCCCGAAGTCAAAAAACGGGAATCGCCAGTAGCCGCGGATTGACCTGGCGATCGCGTAAAGATCCGGAAAGCAGGAAAAGGCGACAACGTGGCGACTTCGGAGCGGGCAAAAAAAGGAGAAAATGATGGCGCGAATAAAAAACGTCACGAGGCAAATGGAGGCTCCGCGAAAAAAGACTCTGCACTGACCGGGAAACTCCAACCGAACACCCACGAAAGTAAGAATTCGTTAAAAGTATCCTATAAAGATGCTCTAACGAAGAATATTACTTCTCGTGGTTTTCAGGCCTTTGAAAAAATCAGGGGAGATTTAGAGGCTAAGAAAAAGCCTTTAGATATTTTTCAGGTACCTGAGAAGTTGGGCAAAGTACTACGGAGCGTAGATTAGGGTCGTGCGTTCCGTGGAGTTAATATTCTCTCCCCGCAGCACAGTGTTTGTGAGAATGAGAATGAGAATGAAATGACTATGAATGAAGTGGGTACATATAGGAAACCCTAATTGGGTTGTACCCCCTATGGGATACCCCACTATAGCCTACACAAGTAAGTAAGCTATAATGTTCTGACACACCCCCATAGGCAAAGTGGGGGAGAACAAGGGGTCACAAGACCAGTCAAGCAAAGCAAGGCAAAACTCAGGGTGGATCACAAAGTCACCACACATTCCTGTGAAAAGAATGAACAGGAATGAAATGACTAAGTCAGAGTTGGGTACAAATACAACCCTAGAAAGCTGTACCCCATATGTGCTACCCCACTATAGCCTACAAACATGCATCAGCTATAATAATCTGACACACCCCCATAGGCAAAGTGGGGGAGAACAAGGGGTCACAAGACCAGTCAAGCAAGCAAAGCAAAGCAAGCTCAGGGTGGATCACAAAGTCACCACACAGTCCGAGCACAAGAGCAGGGCCAGAGGCCAGTTCACATGCAGGAGTACAGACATATATATAAAACTAGACAAGCAAGAGCAGGTATATATATATGTCACAGTACAAGTGAAGTCAAGAGGAGAGCAAGTGAGGCAAGACAGGCACAAGACCCAGCTGGGTGCAAAAGCGCTGATGGTCACAAGGCGCGAGTGCCTTGGTGAACACATCAGCAGTGTTGGCCTCAGAGGCCACGTACGCAAGTCGCAACTGACCACGATGCTGCAGCTCACGAGCAAGGAAGTAGCGGAGAGCAATGTGTTTCGTTCTGTGCTCCAAGCGCTGCTCTCGACACAAGGCCAGCATGGCCTTGTTGTCTACGTACAGCACTGGAGGAGAACGAGGCGGCTCTCCAAGGTCAGTCAGCAGGTAGGTGAGCCAGCAAAGCTCCTGTGCAGCCATGGCCCCGGCGTAGATCTCAGCCTCACAACTGGAGCCGAGAACCGAAGACGAGCGAGTAAACCGCCACGAGACAGAGCCGGAACCAAGGCTGAAGGTGTAACCCTGTGACGACCGCTGCGTAGCCTGGTCGTCAGCCCAAGAAGCGTCCGCGTGGCCGGTAAGGACCACTGGACTCCGCCCTCCAAGCACTAGCCCCATGCCTGACGTACTGCAAAGGTAGCGCAATACCCTCTTCGCTGCAGCCATGTGCTCTGGTCTGTGTCTCCCAGGAGCAACATAGCATGCAAGAATGCTCAGAGGGTATGCAAGGTCAGGTCGTGTGCAGGTCATCAGGTACATGAGGCAGCCAACAAGCTCTGCATACGGACCACTCGACTCTACGGACTCATCCGAAGGCAGAGCTGAGAGTGAGTGGCGAGTAGGCAGAGGAGTGGCCTGAGGCGAGGAGTACGTGAAGCCGAAGCGCTGAAGGACCTGCTGCACCATGTGTGACTGAGTCAAGGTAATGGT